TTCTACTTAAAGGATACAATTAGATTAAGAACAAATTTTTTTTGTGATGGATATCATCAGGTAAATATATGCACTGAAACTTCAACAAAGTAATTGTCTTGGCTCCTTGATGTATGAAAATTTAGAAACCAAATATGTTGTGATTGTTTTTTTCTCCGATTGCTCCTCGGTTCTAACCTTGATATGCTAGAAGTATTTGGATTAACACGGTGTTAGCTACTGTATGGTGCTTGTGGTTTGAGAGAAATTAAAGAATTTTCCAAGGGACTGATAATAGTTTAGAGAGCTTTTGGGACCTTCTGAAGCTTACTCCTCTTATAGGCGTACCCTGTAAATTTTTTTTTTTTTGTTAACTGCGAGCTTTTACACATTTATACCAATTGGGAGCCTTTTTTTTATAATTCAGTGGCTTTGCGAGGATATTTCATCTCCCCTCTTTTGTACCTGCAAATATATTCTTTGTTTCTTATCAGAAAAAATATGTTGTGATTTTTGGTTTTTTTAGTTATTTTGATTACTATTGGAACGATTATCAGGAGTTGTTAGGTTATCATTCTATTTTTACAAGATTAGTACATGGAAGTTTATTAGCAATTTCAATGAGGATTGTATAAATATAAGTAGAGCTTTGATTTTATTAAGTTTTGACTTGGGAATGAATTTGAGTTTCAATGATTCGTACTGTCAAGATTCGGATGTCCAGATAGCTTTAGTTACTTTTCTTTTACATTTCCTTGTTTATTTTATTTTTCTCTGTACTACTAACTCTCCCCGTAGAAAAAAGATGAAATTATTATAACGATATTCCTGCATTCAACTGTTTTACACTAACAAAAAAAAGGCACATTTCTTTCTTGGCTTTGTGACTGCTATTTTGTGCGTTTCCTTCAGTGTTACCATGACACCTCCCAAGTTACAGATGAACTAGTGCAAATTATCCTCAATCCCGGATTGCAGCCAGGCGCAGCAGATATCTTTTTGGAGTTTATTTGTTACTCAGGCGGGCCCCTTCCTGAAGAACTTTTGCCTAGAGTAAAGGTTGGCCTCTAATGTTGGTACTATTTGGAACTACCATTTCCTCCGTGCCAATGTGCTTTTCTTATTTTTCTCTTCTTCAGTGCCCTGTATTGATAGCATGGGGTGACAAAGATCCGTGGGAGCCAATCGAGCTTGGAAGAAATTACAGAAGTTTCGAATCTGTGGAAGATTTTGTTGTCCTTCCCAATGTTGGACACTGTCCTCAGGTATCTCTCGCACTCTCTTCCACGCCAACCGGCTTTACTTTTTTCTTCGTGGGGTTTTGTTAGGAACTTGGATACTGTAATGGAAGATGAAAGATAAGAAAATACAGTAGCTCTCTAAAGTGATTTGAGATAATTGGGCCATTTCCTCTTGAATTGAACACAGTAAGAGAAGACTGAACAACCGCATAATATTGCGCACCTTTCCTAATACCCAATCCCCTTAAAATGAATAGTCTCTAACAAACTCCTAACAAGTTCTTAGTTGCGCTTTTGAGACCTTTTCTCAATTTTTTTAGAAACATGCTACATAAAATGTTAAAAGAATAAGCATGATATAAGGAATTGTGTTGAGAGTTGAGGTTTTAATGGTCTAGCACTCAGTGACAATTGGAAGATGAGAATCATGGGATTGCACCACACAATCCTTTGTTTAATAAAAGGAAAGGAGAAATCTGATATGTATCTGGTGAGTTTTGATTTGTATGCAATTAATTTCTTTAGAAACTTACTGACTTCAATATCTGGTGGCATCAATGAAGGACGAGGCACCTCATCTTGTAAACCCGCTCGTCAAGTCATTCGTGTCGCGTCATGCTACAAGATCTGCATCTGCATGCACATCCTCAGGCGTATAATCATCTAGCACCCGGAGAATCAGCTCTTGGTTTTGAAACCGAAAGTATGTCTTATAATCACCTTGAAATGATTTTCCTCAAAGGGCAACATGCCTTGCGTTGCACAGGATAGCTGCGTCCTGACAAACTTGTGGTTCAATCAATCTGTACAGCAGTGCGAGGATATTGCTTGTACGCCCCCCCACACCATATTCATATATAATTATATATAGCTGCGTTAGTTTGTTTATGTGCCAACGGTTTCCACTTTCGTTTAGCATTCTCATTGAAGCTCAGCTCAGTGCTTGTGCTTGTTCTGAAATGTCATATGATATGGCGCGGGATTACAGAATTTGTGATCTACGCTGGAGAGAATACCCAGAAAAAATCTCTCCTGGTTGAAGTTTGATAATATTGGTAAACGTCACATCACTTTGTATTCTATAATCTGGCGTACATAAAAAAAGTTTCACTTGGCGGCTTAAATTCAATCGGCCCAATTCAACTTAAACAATTCGATATCGTTCTCTCATTCGTGTGGTATACTACAAATTTATATTAGCCATTTTGATCAAGTTAAATTAGCAAAGATTAATTTGAATGTTCATCATTTATAAAGGGAATCATTTTTTTTAAGAAAAAGTTTAATGGGGGGCAAATTTAGTTGCTATACTTACAAATTTGGCACACAGAAATAATTTTATAAAGGGAATCATTTTTTTTAAGAAAAAGTTTAATGGGTGGCAAATTTAGTTGCTATACTTACAAATTTGGCACACAGAAATAATTTACAAGTATGCAATTTTTTAAAATTTTTTTTTTGAATGCCTATTTTGACATTTTTACCTAATTCTTTCTTTTTCTATTTCTTTTTTCTCCTTTCTGTATGTTGCTTATATATCATTTTTACATTTATCACTGATTGATTGATAGATGCTATCAATTTTTATAATCACTAATATACCATTTTTATTTACTCATATTCATATTAGTGATAGAATAAGTAGTAAATCAACATGAAAATAATAGAAAATGAAAGTTACATAATCAATGACATACCATTTTAATTTTATTGATATAATATATTATTGATAGACCAAATATGAGATAAGCAAGAAAAAGAACACTAATAGAAAATGAAAGTTAACCTAATTACCATTGTAACATATTTATTATGTTGGTATTAGTGTATTAGTGATGGAGAAACACCGATAGAAAACTAAAGTTACATAATCACTTATATAACATTTTTATTTTAACGATCTACATCAGCAAAAGAATAAATAATAAATCAACATGCAAAAAGAACACTAATAAAAAATCCGAATTACATGATATACCATTTTAATTCTAATGTAAAATATCAGTGATGAACCAAATATTAAGTACGCATAAAAAAAAAAACCATAGATGAAAGTGATATAATCATTGATAAAGGTATATTGAGACATGTTGTGTATATTTTTATTGGGACTGGACTTAAAATTGTGCAATAAGAAAGTTACATGGTTGAATATCTCATCTAACAAAAAAAATACAAAGTATATGGTAATCTTTAGTGAAATGGCTCAAATGGCATCTTGTAAAATTTGAGATTAACAGCAACAAACAAGGAGAAAACGAGGCCCTCAACAAGGATGTCACATAAGAAAACACTGAATTTAAGCAAAGATCTAAATTCTACATTGTAATATTCATTATAAGACTGTCCTGCTTGTCGGCTTGTGCATAGGCCCGCCCTCAAATCATATCATGTCGATTGGCTGCGCCCCATGACATTTCAAGATCCTCTTTCTCTGGAACATCAGTTATCCATTCTAACAACCTTTCTGGCACACCCATCTCTCTGCCTCTACTGCCAGAAAAGGCGATATAAAGAAATAGAAACATTGTTACTCGGATTCGCAGTCCACAGTCATCACCGATAGCCCTCACTAATCGATCCTGTTGAAACATGGTAAGATGATGATTTTATTTTTCCCCAACAACCCATGATCTTTATATTTCTACTTAATTTCTATGCTGCACATAAACCGAGGAAATGCGTCACATCATAGACTGATCTTGTTTCCACAGCACATGCATTATTATGAGTAAATTGGGATGACCTGTGTTAACTGTTTTGGGAGGGCAAGGTTCTGGTCAGCTCACAGTGCTTCTCGATTCATTGATCCATTTCAGGTAACTTTCTACACAGTCCAGCCCGCAGAGCTCTTTAACAACAGGCATGGTAGCAGGAACCTCTAGCTGTAATGCGTAATCACACTCATCTTGATGGCGCCATGTACGTATCTGTTTCCTTGCCTCTTTAATAGCCGCTCGTGTTGCACAATGAACTGATGCAGCTAGAAGCAGTGGTGGTTCTCCTGAAGCTGCAAAAATGCATGTCATTTATTAAATGAACCCTTGTACTGTACAACACAATATTTACAGATCTCTCATCCTCACTGAAACTGATCTCTCTTGCATCCTAAGATCATTCAACTATATAGGCCTTTTTTTTTTTTACCATTTGGCCGTGTTTAGACAACTGTTTTCACTACCCATACAGTTAAATGCTGTACTTTTTCCCTTTTCATTTCTATGCCAAGCCAGCATCTGATGATGGAGCTGATAATTCCAATACATATTGTACTGTTTGCATGAGGCCTCAGCTGAGAAACCAAAAACCCCATGAATGAAAAAGTCTACTAATGTCTTCTTTTCAGAAGAATCAATAGAAGTAACTATAATTTTTTCTGACAGAGCAAGGAGATCACGTTCTCTTCCAACCCGATCACATGACAATAAAGTTTGACCTACCTTTTGAAGAGAGAATGCGTTTTTTATGATGTCCGGAGTTCAAAATTTCAACGTTGAACTGTTTTGGTATGGTGTCAATTGTAGGAATTTTGTAAGTCCATGTGCTGTCAGTGATCACTAGTCCATCAGGATTTGTCAGGTATTCTTCTGACATAAAAAATCCAATTCCTTGAACAAAGGCTCCTTCAACCTACAAAAAATGGTTCCTGATCATTAAGAGCTTCTGCCCTTTGGAGATCTAATGAATCTAATCCCGCAGAACAATAGCTATATAACACTACAAAAGCGCACAAACTCAAAACTTAAGGACATATGTGTTTCCCGGCACTAAATGTTGTAGGGTCAGGCGGTTGCCCCGTAAAATTAGTCGAGGTGCGCGTAAGCTGGCCCGGACACTCACGGATATCCAAAAAAAAATTTAAGGACATTGAAAAACAGACTCGAAAACTTTGGGAGATTGAAGAATAGCTTGAATAGTTAACCTGTCCCAAATCCACAGCAGGGTTGAGGCTCTGTCCACAATCATAGATAATATCTGCACGCAAAACTGTGGTTTTTCCAGTGAGAAGGTCAACCTCCACCTGTCATGGCATGGATTTTGTGAATTGAACTGTGCAGTAAGATACACTGGCAGTGAAGTGGTTAAATTTGAAAATGCTTATACAACAGTAAATAAAAAGGGAGGTGTTATTAGTGCACTTGCCTCACTCACTGCAGCTCCAAAGTTTAAGTAGCGCATTGAAAAAAAGTCAGGAACATACATAGAATTAACTGATAAATTCACCGATTGCAAGTTTGCCTGCAATTTTTCCAACATGAAATGACCAAGGTGTTATAAACCCAAAGACATGACCGGTATCATAATTTATAATTCATAACTCCAAAAGAATTCTTATAAGGAGGCAAGAAAACTGCTCATTTAAGGAACTAACCATGCAAAATTACAAAATCAGACTGCAGAGAAGAGGCAACATGGCTGCCACCAAGTTCCATAAATAGAACATAAAACCCAAACTAGAAAACCTTGATCAGTCTGATCCAAAAATAGGTCTCGTGAAAGTATTGTATGAAAGCTCAAAAAGTTAAACGGGAAATAATCCCATGAAGCATAAAAACAAAAGATCACCATGTGAAGAACGCTCATAAACTGCTCATAACTATAACAAAATAGACCAAATTTAGAAGCATAATACCCATGGAGAATTTATCAAAAACTTCAAAAAACAACCTTCTGCATTACATCTAGAATATTAATTGTTCAAAGCAAGGATTATTATTATTTTTTTCCATGAGAAACCAAGCTTTCATAGAAGAAAGGCAAGAGAACCAAAAAAGAAAAAAGTCAAATGGCATTAAAAAAAGCCCAAACCAAAGGAGCCAAACAACTAGCTATACAAAATGGGGCTCCAATCTAAAATAATCTTAGATACCAACTTTAATCGTTTAAAGCAAGGAAAGTTTTTAAAGAAACTAATTTTTATATGAACTAATAATGAAAATTTCAGAACCATGTCTATGCATCAATAACACTTGGATGTTCCTCCCACACTTCAAAAACGAATCACTCCAAAATAAAGGCAAAAAGTCATTATAGCAAGAAAACACGATTGCTTAATCATAAAATGTTCAACGAGATGGTGCAGAGTGCAGACAACAACCTGACTTATAAGCACATCCCATTTGACTGAACCCATTTTCTCCTCCAGCCTTTTTTTGAGAGGTGTTAGTCTCTCTACCAATATATTGCAACAAAGTCTAACTGCTTCACAGCTTGACTCTGAGGTAGTACTCCCAGCCGTACACCCTCCTTGGATTAAGCCAATGGTATCGGATTGGACCACTCTCACCTTTTCCAAGAGGTCGCCAGTTCCATCACAGTCAATTGAGCTGAGGGCATATGCAACCATCTGTCTCACCTTTGTCCACAGCCCCTGGCCAAGTTCAATACCTCCAACTTCCACAACAACAGAAGCATCAGTTAGAATGCTCACTCTCCCTGGGGTTGGTCTCAACATTACCTCATGCGTAATAGGAATTCGAGAAAGACCTCTTTTTTTCCATCTATTGCAGCTATTAAATTCATCTACCATTTCAGTCCTTTGTTTTAAGCTTGAAGATGCGGCTAACCTATCCCAAATTGAAGGTAATGTGTACTCTTGAGGTTCACCTGCATCCTTGTAGAATATGTTGAGGCTGTCAAATGTATGCAGATTTACTTTCCGGATAGTATCCACGTCCATGCAAAGGGTAGATGCTACATGTTCAATTACTGCCTCAGCAATAAATGATCCTTGCACCTCACCAGGGGCTCGCATTGCAGATTTGCTTGAGTGGTTTGTTTTGCATACTTTTATATCAAAAGATAAAGCACCCCAATCATACTTCTTAAGTGCATTAACAATGTTGTGTGGCATAACTGGACTAATATCACAGCTCATCCCTGCATCAACCAATATTTCTAATTCCAACGCTGTAATTTTACCATTAGATTTGAACCCCACATTGTAAGTAATTTTCATTGGATGCCTCCCTCCTGCCATTATCATGTCAGTCTTCCGATTAAGATAAATCCTGACTGGACGGCGTAACTTGTGAGCTGCAAGTGCACATGCCGTTGCAACCTAAACAACATAATTGTCATTAGAGTGTGCTGTTCGTCCTTTGAAAAAAGTGAGACCCTTCGCAAGGAGAAAAATAGAAAGCATGCCACAGTGAAACAAAAGAATTATTAAACAACATATATAGTGAAGAATATCATGATCTTAAATCATGAAAACCTTTAACTTAGATTCAAAATTTTGAAACAAAAGAATTATTAAACAACATATATAGTGAAGAATATCATGATCTTAAATCATGAAAACCTTTAACTTAGATTCAAAATTATCTTATTCTAATGGTTGATACCATAAACCATCTTTTTAATCAAAATATATCAGTTCCAGAAAAACTTAAAAAGAAGGGTCCAAGAATAGAGTAACTAAAATAAGATTCTAAGATACTCCAATTGGTGCTTTAGTGGCAATTATGTCATCTTACTTGGGTTCAATGAATTGTCATCCTACCTACTAAGAAATACAACAGAATCGTAACCATAATAAGTTTCAAAAAAATTATGCCGTTTTGGCATTGGCATCCAAAAATTTCTAGGAGAATTGAGAAATAATTATGGCATCTTTACTTGAGTTTCGATCCCCTGTTGAAAAAACATCAATAGTCGTTACCAGTAAATGTCAACTCCCAAAATTTTCGATGCTGGTCGAAAATCTTGAGTATTAAACATTCAAAGAGGTACATTAAGGAAGAACAATTTGAGGAGAAGATAGTTAGAGTTGGTAGCAGATACTCACAACCATAGATTTTATGGCCTTTCCACCAAAGCCTCCTCCAACCCTCCTTGTAATTACACGGATATTATGTTCAGGAACACCAAGACATTTTGCAATAACAGAATGCGCATTAGCAGGCCATTGACTTGAACTGTAGACTACCATGCAGTTATCTTCATCTGGAATCGCAAGTGCAGAATGTGTCTCCATATAAAAATAATACTGTGACCCAAGTCTGATCTGAATGTAAAAATTTATGAAAATATTATAAGAAGTGACATTTAAAAAATAATACTTAAATTTTGGATAGATAGTAGCTTATAACATTTGCAGCAGTATAGTTAGAAACAAATTTTATTGTGAGAGAAATTTTTAAATGGGTGATGGTCAAATCTCTAATTATAAGACTCAAACATGGTTCAACTAAGTAAATCAAGGAAACTCCCCTTTTCTTCTTAAGGTTGGCATATCATCACTAAATATTTAGGCCAAGCATGTCATTGTAGAAGGTACCTGAGCAGCCTTAATATGGTGATCTGCTTCAGCCATTCCTTTTGATATATCACCAACCTGTTTAGGACATAGAAATGAAGGGACCTCAAAGAAGCTTGACCTTTCAAGAGCATTTTCTACAGAAAGAATAGGTGCTTCCAGATTATCTGTGTCATATTCCACTACTGCAAAGTCTGCAGCCGTATCTGCATGTTTCTGTGTATCTGCAACCTAAAAATTGTAGGCAAAGAGGTAATAAGCACCTCAGCAAGGAAGTTCTATAGTCGAAGTTAATATAAATGAATCATGGGATAACAGGATTACCACAAAAGCAAGTGGCTGACCAGCACACTCGGTCAACTTATCTGCAAATAGAAGTTCATCACCAAACATGGTTCTAGCTCCAACGTTATGTCCACCCACAGGAATATCTCTGGTGGAAATAACAGCGATAACTCCATCTGGTTGTGATTTGGGAGAAAAAGTAAATCCCTTCATCCATGCCAAAGGCCTTGTGCTATATATGAATGCTCCATATAGGCAATTTGTTGGTGAAGGAATATCATCCACATAGACAGCCTCACCTAAAATATTAATTTGCATATGTACATTGGTTTCCTGATACTGAGAACAAGAAATAATGACAAGAAAAATAGACCTGAAAGAATATGGAACACTAAATATTGAAGTTGAATGCAGAATCGGAAGTATAACAGCTAGGTAATATGGAGACATCTGATCCAAGCAGACTGGAACAAGCCAATGTTAGTATACAAAAAGTTCTGATATACAAGTACACATATTCTTATCCATTTAAGTAAAGGTAAATAAATAGGTCGACTTGACCTGAGCTGGAAGACCCACATGTAAAAGTACTGGTACACAGAATGTTTTAAAGATTGTGAAGGCTCAATGCTCATCAGGTTTATTTAGACAAATTTATTTCATCTCTGTGATTAAAAAAAATTCGCAACTATATTATTACATGGTATAAAGTACCTGAAGCTTGTAGAGCAGCTCCGGATTTTATAATGGCATTTCCAACTGGATGATATTCTGAATTTAATTGGAGTGTCTGCCGTCCAGATGATAGTAGAGTTGCAGCTTTATTATAAGCAAATGAGGCCTTTCTGCATCCATTTAGGTAATCACTCTTAATTTCAGCATTTCCATCAACCAAGGAGCTTAAGAACTGAAAAAGAAAGCCAACTGCTAAACTTGTCCTATAAGCAGGAGATGAAGTGCCCTTTTCAGGAACTATGGTGGCTCCGATCAACGAGACAGCTTCATATATGACATTATAATCAATAATTTTTCCAGCTAGAAATTCTTCTGTCTTTCTTGCTCTAATTGCATGTTTAGTCCCATAAGCTCCAAAAGCCAGGTGACAGCTATTTAATATAAACCCGTTGGAACTTTTACACGGAGAGATTACCGCTAAGAAAGCGGCATTTAGGTAAGGCAGCGCATTTCCAAGGGGTCGAGGTGAAGCTCTAAAAGAATCAAACATTACAGTAGCATCATTTGGATAAATATCTCCAGCTGAATCCCAATTTGGGATCTTAACACTTGAAAGTATACATTTTGGATCCAAGGGAGGTCTCTTAAGAAACTCATCCAACGTAACCATTTCTTGGCTAGAACCAGTTAATATACTTATCATGGAACCTGCAGCAAGTAGTATTGTGGCAATATCTGAAGGAAACTGTTTTCTTTGTGCCATCATCAGATTCCCCCCAATGCTAGCAGTATCTCGAACAAACCTGGAAGCAATTTTCTCCATGTGGCCTGATATTTTATTGAACACCAGCTCTCCTGGTGAGGAGGGTTTATTATGTTTCAAAGCCTCAATAGCTTTTGCAATTGTGACGGTTGCACCAATCTCTGTTCCTGTTGAATCAATCTTGATAACTGACAGCTCAGGTATGTGTTTAAGATTAATGTATCTATCTACTTGTTCAAATTCTTTGTAATATCCGACTTCTGTGTTGCCAACAACTAACTTCGTTTTGCTTATGTTACTAGACTCATAGCATTCCAATAATCCATTTAGATCCTCGATACTAACGGGATTGAACCAAGAACATCCCTTAGAGTCCACAACAGGGATAGACCTAATTTCCTTTTTTAAAAATTCAGGAAATAAGCAGGGGTCATTATTTGGATCATAAAGTGGCAATTTACTCAATTTCTCTTCCTCGCTGCATCCCTTTTGCCAGAACGAGTTTAACCCCAAATCCTCCATGTCAACATTGGAAGCAAAACTCTTACAGGCATCAGCAATCGGCCTATAACCTGTACAGCGACAGAGGTTTCCGGAAATAGCCTTTTCAGCTTCAGAAATAGTAAGCTTGGAGAATCCTGATAATGGTTGGGGTCGATTGGTGTTTTCAGCATTGACAAGAGCAGCAAAAAGTGAAACACACATTCCAGGGGTACAAAAGCCGCACTGAGAAGCATGGAAGCCAGCAAACCTCTGATGAATTGTGTGGAAACCATCCTTGCAATTTCCGATACCTTCACTGGTTGTAATGGAACAGCCATGTATACTACAAAGCAACGTGAGGCATGAACTTACCGTAAAATGTTCGACCTTGTCTAACACAGGATCGTACTTGGACAATAGAACAATACAAGCACCGCAGCCGCCTACATTTCAAAATAAACAACCACGTCAACAGATTTAGATCTAATTGAATTTCATACCATACATACAAATACGATGAGATTGCCGATCAGCTGCAGGGTCGAATGGTGAACTAATGACAATGAGTAGTTAAAAGTAGAATCCGGTCATTCAGTTTCCATGGTAATAAAGAACCTAATTGCAGAAACATAACATCATCTTCAAGTTCGGTTTTAACCAATATGCTTTCCGTTTTTTTAGTACAATGAACGTGGGGATGAAGCTCAAGGAAGGAGTAGATGCCTTAACTTGGCAATAGTAGGCAGTAAAACATGTGAAGGAGAAGCGAATACCCAAAACTGAGGTTCACTGAAAAGCAGTAGCTAGCAACTAGAGAGAATTTATATAATGACGCTGAAGTGTAATTCATGCAATAAATTAAAATGAGAATTAGAACCCAGATCCTGAAATTGAGGAAGATGAAGTGAGAAGCGGACCTTCACCACAGCCAAGCTTGACGCTCTTGAAAGAAGTATGGTGGCGCAGGAAGTGGAGGAGAGTAGTGGAAGGGTGGACAGTGGAGAGCTCAAACCTGTGTTGATTGACTGCAAAAACCAGAGGAGGTAGCGGTGCTGTTGTGTGTGGTTGATTCTCCATGGATGGTAGCGGAGTGGGAAGTGAAGAGTGAAGAGGGTGGAATAATAAATAAATGTGTACCCGCCTTTCAAGCTTCAAGCTTTTCAAGGATATGATAAGTCAATCAATTCCACCATCCATCCAATTGTCGGTTTAAGCTTTGAAGAAGGAGCTTGTTTAACACGCGTCCACATGACATGGATATATGCCTTCAGGTTCAGTAGCCCAAAAATGACTGCTCGATCAACGAATACAGACATTACTCTCGCATTCTGGAGTTAGGCTGAGTGTAATTAAGTTCACACTGAAATTTATGCCTCTGCCCTCCACGTCATTGCAACCGTCCCAACAAATTTCTCTTATTCATAAACAGGGCTGTGTTCAGCTTCAAGCCATTACTAATTTTTAAAAATAAGTTTCTTTTTTTTTCCTTTTTTTTTAGAGTGTGACATCGGATTTTATAATTTACCTTAAAATTCCTACTACCCATCTTCACATTAAAGTTGCTCTTGCATAGAATAGGACTTTTCACATTAAAGTTGTCCTCAATCAACGAATTCATTGTTTCTATTACTACTAAAGTGTCAATATAGGAATTTTCCTTTTTCTTGCTACCTCACCGATATTTAACAACAGTGCGGGACCCACAAATACAATAATATATAAAAAATGGTGAGATTTTTCACTCAGGCTTAAATTAAATTAACCTTATATTACATAATTATATATATTAAAAAAATTAAATTAACCCATTTCTATTTAAATAAAATGCACAAGTTTTCAGTCATCATCCCTTAAAATTCTCCATTGAATGTCATTTTTCCCTCATTTCCCCGTGATCAAGTGTTGGTAACTATCTTATTAGCTTTGATATCTATTTTTGGTTTTCTATTTTTAATTCTTATGTTTTTTGTTTTTAAAAACTTAGTTTTATTTTTTAAAAACCAAACGCACATAATAACTAATTTTGTTTTCTATTTTTTTTCAAGTTAGAGAGATATAAAGATCTGCTAGAGAGAGTAAATACGTAGAAACAAATAAATAAAAGTTTAGAAAGGTAGAGAAATTATTTTTAATTTTGCAAAAATATAGAAGTAGAGAGAAATTTTTTTAGGAGAATACTAGTTAGAAAAAGAGAAATGTCAGGGAGAGAGAACAAGAAATTTTACAGAGAATATTAGTTAGATAAAAAAAAGTGCTAGAGAAAAAGAAAGCAATGTTAAAAGTGTGAAAATTTAGAATATAAAAATTTTAGTCGGAGAAAAGTTATAGTTATATTTATTAGAGAGAAAAAAAAAAACTATAGAGGAAGAAATTTTTATAAAGAGAGAGATTATGTTGGTAAGAGAAAGGTACGCACTAATGGTAAGAGAAGAAAGATTTTTTAGAGAGAAAACGAAGATCTTATTCACAGACCGCACACAAGAGACCAAAAAAAAAAAAGTAATGAAAATTTTAAGCAAAAGATTTCAGGTATAGATTGTAATATTCATTATAAGACATTTGAAGAGCTGTGTTTTTGGTCAGTTCACAGTGGTTCTCCATTTGAGGTAAGTTTCCACATAGTCCAGGCCGTACAGCTCTTTAACAACAGCCATGGTCGCAGGAACCTGTAGCTGTAGAGCGTAACCAGACTCATCTTGTTCCTGATGCCGCCATTTGCGTATCTGTTTCTGTGCCTCTTTAATAGCCGCTCGTGTGGCACAGTGAACTGATGCAGCTAAAAGCAATGGTGGTTCTCCTGAAGCTGCACAAATGCATTTCATTTAATCAAACCCCACTTCAAATGAACCCTTTGTAGTTTGTACACCACCAATATTCACAGATCTTTCCTTCCCAATGCACCTGCTACCTATAGAATCCTAAGAGAAGATCATTCACCTAAATGGGCGCGTTTGAGGTGTAGGTTGGGGAAGGAGTTGTCTAACCCAAGTTCAAAATAGGAGAAATCAACAAGCTTGAACAATAGCCACTATTTTACTCAAACCTACGCCCCGTACCCAGTTTTCCTAAACTAAAACTTCCCGAACCCTCCACTAAAACTCCAAGGTTACTAAACCCAAACTTAATATATGAAACCCTGTGCCCAAATGCCCCTGTATGCTTTTTACCATATAGTTGAATGCTATCCTTTTTCCTTCTTTATTTCTATGTTAAGGCAGCATCTGATATTTCAATACTTATTCATATTGTATTGTTTGCATGAGGCCTTAGATGAAAAACCAAAAATCCTATGAAACAAAAAACCTTCTGATGTCTACTACAAAGAACATGATAAATGTAATCAACTGGACTCCGGAGGAATCAAGGAAAGGATCTAGCATACTTTTTTCCTGATAGAGCTAGGGAACCACATTCTATTCCAACCCAATGAAATGATATTAGAGCTTGACCTACCTTTTGAAGAGAGAATACGTCTTTTATGATGTCCGGAATTCAAAATTTCGACGTTGAACTGCTTTGGTACGGTGTCAATCGTAGGAATTTTGTAAGTCCATGTGCTGTCAGTAATCACTAGTCCATCAGGATTTGTCAGGTATTCTTCTGACATAAAAAATCCAATTCCTTGAACAAAGGCTCCTTCAACCTGCAAAAAACGATTCCTGATAAGTAGGAGTTCCTGCCCCTTGGAAATCCGATCAATCTACTCCCACAGAAAAATAGCTATATAAAACTCAAAAGCATGCAAACTCAAGACTTAAGGACATTGAAAAACAGACACAAAAATCAGGAGATTGAAAAATAGATTAGATACTCAATTATGTAGTTCTAGTGTAGCTAATTAACCTGTCCCAAATCCACAGCAGGGTTGAGGCTCTGTCCACAATCATAGATAATATCTGCACGCAAAACCATGGTTTCTCCAGTGATAAGATCAACCTCCACCTGTCAAGGCATGAATTCTGTGAAATGAACTGTGCGGTAAAGTAAACTGGCAGCGAAATGTAGCCAATTTATTCTTTCTAATTTGAAAATGTTGATACAGTAGTAAAGACAAAGGGAGGTGTTATCAGTGAACTTGCCTCACTAACTGCAGCTCCGTAGTTTATATAGCGGCTTGAAACAAAGTCAGGGACGTACAAAGAATTAACTGATAAATTCACTGCTTGCAAGTTTGCCTGCACTTTTTCCAACATTAAATGAGCAAAGGTGTTATGCACCCAAGGATATGTCCTTAATCATTCGTCCAAAAACACTCTTACGAGGTAAGAAAAATGCTCATTTAAGGAACCAACCAAGCATAATTACGAATCTACAACCAGACTAAAGACAAGGGGCAACGTTGCTGCCACTTAATTTCATAAATATGAACCCGTCGATCATGTCCAACCATCGTGAATATTGTATGAGAAGGTTCGCAATGTTTAATGTGAAATAGTCCCATGAAGCATAAAAAACAAAATATCACCATGTGAAGAATTCTCTTAAACTGCCTATAACTAGAATGAAATAGACCAACTTTTGAAGTATAACGTCCACGAAGAATTAATAAAAAGTTTCAAATTTCAACCTTCTTCGTTACATCTAGGACCTTTGAATAATTGTCTAAAGTAGGAACACTTTTTAAAGAAAACTAATCTTTTGTGTGAATTTCTAATAATGAAACTTTCAGAACCATGCATATACACCAATACAATAACACTCGAATGTTTCTCCCATGCTTTAAAAACTAATATCCTTCCCAACTAAAAAAAGAGAGTGAGTGATTATAGAAAGATAGTGCAGACAACAACCTGAGCTATAAGCACGTCCCATCTGACTGAACCCATTTTCTCCTCCAGTCTTTTCTTGAGAGGTGTTAGTCTCTCTACCAATATATTGCAGCAAAGTCTAACTGCTTCACAGCTTGACTCTGAGGTAGTACTCCCACCAGTAAACCCTCCTTGGATTAAGCTGAGGGTATCAGATTGAACCACTCTCACCTTTTCCAAGAGGTCACCGGTTCCATCACATTCAATTGAGCTAAGGGCATATGCAACCATCTGTCTCACCTTTGTCCACAGCCCCTGGCCAAGCTCAATACCTCCAACTTCCACGACAACAGAAGCATCAGTTAGAATACTCACCTTCCCTGGGGTTGGTCTCAAAATTACCTCATGCATAATAGGAATTCGAGAAAGACCTCTTTTTTTCCATCTATTACAGCTATTAAATTCATCTACCATTTCAGTCCTTTGTTTTAAGCTTGAAGATGCGGCTAACCTATCCCAAATTGAAGGTAACGTGAACTCTTGAGGTTCACCAGCATCCTCGTAGAATATGTTGAGGCTGTCAAATGTATGCAGATTTACTTTTCGGATGGTATCCACATCCATGCAAAGGGTAGATGCTACATGCTCAATGACCACCTCAGCAATAAAGGATCCTTGTACTGCACCAGGGGCTCGCATTGCAGATTTGCTTGAGTGGTTTGTTTTGCATATTTTAATATCAAAAGACAAAGCACCCCAATCATACTTCTTAAGTGCATCGACAATGTGAGGTGGCATAATTGGACTTACATCAGTACTCATTCCTGCATCAACCAATATATCTAATTGCAATCCTGTAATTTTACCATTGGATTTGAACCCCACATTATAAGTAATTTTCATTGGATGTCTCCCTCCTACCATTATCATGTCAGTCTTCCGATTAAGGTAAATCCTGACTGGACGGCATAACTTGTGAGCTGCAAGTGCACATGCCGTAGCAACCTAAACAGCATAATTGTTATATGGTTATAACTCATGCATTAGGGTTTTGCTATTCATCCTTCGGGAAAATAATAAGAACCTTAGCAAGGAGACATGAAAAATAGAAAGCAAGCCATAGTGAAACAATAGAATTGTCAAACATACATAAATAGTGAAGAGTAAAATGATCTTAAATCATGAAAAGCTTCAACTTTGATACACAATTATCTTATTCTAATGGTTGATACCACAAACCATATTTTTAACCAGAAACACTGATAAATATTTCAGTATGGAAAAGAGTTGAAGTGAAAAGAGTTGAAGTGAAAGGTCCAAGAAGCCTATCTCAAATCCTAAATTTTTTTTTTGACAAGGTACTAACTTCTCATTAAATAATGAAAAGAAACAAAATTGTTCAACGATACAAACTCTGTAAATTCTAATAAGATGCCACAGAGACTCCCCAATTAGAATAAATTGGACTAGGAGGATAAAATTTAAAAAGAGGGGATAAGGAGCTCCAGCTATATACTCACTTAAAGAATCCATTCAGCATGTTTTCTTTCAATAATTAGCATTTAAAAT